ACAAGGTAGGTGCAGTTACACCCACTAAAGAGAACACTGTAAGAGCCAAATAAATATTTAATGAATGAATGAAAAATCTGGGCATTTGAAGGCTATTTTATAATTAGCATGTTAGAGAAAACACATTGTCATTAGACAATATTTCCTATAGGCTTCTTTACATAGTGACCTGGTGCTGAATGTTCTAGGAAGACAGACTGCCTATCCCCTAGTGGCTTATTGACTAAAACAGACAGCACAAAAGCAGGCAACTGGTAGAAAACATGGTATAGGTAATGGATAAATATATAAATCAAGGGTAAGATTGGATACTTTATTTGGCCTGATTCTGCCATTTTAGCTTTGTTGGATGCATCATAATCTCCAGTTCTTCTGTCTCCTTAGAAAGCTGCAGCAGGCTTCCATCTATAGAAAGTTATATGCTTTTCTAGGTGTTTAAGAGATTCAAATCCCCTATTCCTTCATCAGCTGTTCCAAGCTGGGGTGGTTGGGGGAGGGTGTATCAATACCAGCCCGCTTACAGAAGAAGGACTTGGCTATTCATCAGTTATCTGAGGACAGTTTCCTGGAGATGATGGAAAAACTATGTCTCACACCTGGCCAGCACTCAACAATGTTTGCCAAATGAAAGAGGGGAAGAAGATAGGAACTAGCATCTGCCCTACCCAGCCTTCCATCCTTCCACTCTGTTTCATCTCTGTTTGATCAAAAGTCATCCATTTGTCTGCTCCCTCCAACTCCCACTGGTTCCAGCCCTATGATTCAGCCATCGCAAATCTCCAAATTTGTTCACTGATCACACTCTCCCTCCCACCCCACCTCCCCGCCCCAGTCTCTGGCACAGTGCTTGTTTCAGACTTGAGTCTTGATATCCGCAGATTTTCCATTTGGGTTCTCAGCCCCATTTTTAAAGTGCCCCAGTGCACTGTATTTTGTACATAGCCCCCCACTCTGGCTGCAGCTCTAGAAGGCTGGACTTTAATTCTTAGTTTTCTTTTTAATATTCTTTCTAACAGTATCATACAAGGCACTGAGTGTTGTACCCAGTGTTGTACTGCTTATAAAGCACTTTATTGTACACTCATTCACCTGACCCTTACCACAGTGATCTCAGGCAGATAGCACAAGCCCTCCTTTTCAAATGACCACTTGGAATACAAAGAGGGTCACAGAGCTGGTGTACAGATCAGGCAGATGCAAACCCAGTTTTCCTGCCTCCAACTCTGGAAGTTATTTCTTTGGATTGTGCTATTTTAAAAAGTCCTAGCACTGCTGAAACTCTTGGACATCCTTTACAATTTTCAAACTTAGAAAATAGATAATTGCTAAGAAAATAGTTGTTATGGCTCGAAAAAAAAAAAATGGCCCCAAGGAAACTGATCTACTTAGAATGCCCATAATCGCCCAAATAACTGTCAGTGATATTCCATCACATTGATACAGATCTTATCATTCTGGGCTCAGTTAGCAGGATTCACTCTTCCAAAAAATAGCTCCAGCCTTAGTGGGTAAGATGAACTTCAGTGCAAAAGCCCTAAACTCTATAAATCTCAACTTTCAGTCATGTCTTCAAAGGTGATTAAAGAAGAAATGTTGGGAGAAACCCAAGGTTGGCACCACGTCATGAACCGCTCAACATCTACTGGAACTTACTGCATCTATAAATATTTACATTACAGAGTGATAGAATATTTGGAAGTCCCTAAAAACTGCATCTTGAGAAGGTATGCAGCTTCCTCAGCAGCCACTGTCCAATCTGATTCCACTTTGAGATCATTTCCAAATAACCAGCTTAAGCATAATGGAGTAGAAAAGTTCTAGGTCAGGAGGAGGTGATGCGAGTTCAGCTCCTGGCTGTTCTACTAACTGTGTGAAGCTGAGCAAATTCCTTGACCTATCCCAACCCCATTCTTTCCAAAAATAATTATTGAGCACCTACAACTTGCCAGGCACTGGGAATTAGAACAGTCCACAAGACAAAGTTCTTGCCCTCAGGGAACTCACGTGCTAGGGGAGATTGATGATGAATAAATAAACATATAAGGAGGACATGAAAACAGTAAGGAGATTGGCAGAGATGGAGAGCAGAGGTGCTGTGGACAGGATGCTATTTTGGATAGATGGTCTTTTGAGATAAAATACCTGGGGGAAGAGAATTCTTGATGAAGGGCACAGCATGTGGGAAGGCCCTGAAGTAGGGGGAGACTGGTGTGTTCAGAGAACAGAGAGGGAGCCAGTATAGCTGGAGCGGAGGGAGGAAGGGAAGAGAGTGGAAAGGGAGGAGGTGAGAGGTAACTGCCATCATGGAGGGACCTTTAGGGTTGGTAGTAACTTGGGAGGGAAGCCAGTGGTGGCATCTGAGTGGGTGACATTATGATCCAACTTGGTTTCCAGGAACATAACTTTGCCTGCTCTATGAAGGCAGCCCAGGCTTTTCCTTATCTGGAAACCAGCTGGTAGGGACTAGAGAAACAAAGTAGGCTTTGCACGGCCCCCCTCTCTGAGCTGAGATCCCCTTATATACTTTGCCGAGCAGGTCACAGCCCATCTGGGTGAGTCACGTCTAGAACTGCAGTAGCTCTTACGTCCCAGAGGCCCAAGGCTGTGCCATTCCCCTGCCATTAGGCTACTAGTTGACTAGGGAAAGACAGATTCCAGCCATTGCAGGAGATCCTGCAAAACCTGGTGACCCCACTTGGAGCCCCCCATATCAGGGTGGATTTTCCGAGAAGAGTCCTTTAAGTGGTTTCAGACACAAAAGACTCTGTTTGCTGCTTTTCACTTCCTGCTACCAGCCTTTCTTCCCAAAAAAGTTATCTGGAAAGGCCAGTAGGGTTAAGGCACTTGGCCTTTGCCCAACAGAGCAATTATTCTGTGGATGCTCAAGACTTTCAGATCTTATTTCCTTTTTCTGGGTCACCTGCTTGGTGTGAATTCATCCAAATACATCAGTTTGATATTTTTAGAGTTATACATTATTACTGCATTTATACCCTCCCACAGAAATTCGAGCTCGGGGCTGGGGCAGAGCCCCCGCGTTTGAGACTCAAGAGATTGGCAAGGCCCCTCTCGTCCCAGCCCTCCTTCTGGAGCCAGCCCTCCGCACCCGCTGTGCTTAGCTCCTTCAAGAATCCTGAGTCATTTCACCATTTCTGTTTCTCTCCTTTCCCCCCGCCACGTTCCTGATGCAAAGGAACACTGCAGCTCTGCGAGCGCCTCCCTCCAGCAGGCAGCCACCCGCACCCCCTTGGCCTCCCTCCAGCAGCCGCGGCTGGGGCTGCGGGCGGAAGGTCGGGGAGCCAGCTCCGCTGGGCGAGCAGAAGGCGAGGGCGCGGGTGGCGAGGCGCGAGCAGGCCCGGGGTGGCGGGGGTGGGGGTGGGGGTGGGGGGGGTGGAGGAGAAGAGACGCCGCGAGGGCGTGGGCGGGAGGGCTCGGGCGGGCTGTGCCGCAGTGACTTGGGTGGTGGTGATTCGTTCGCGGGAGCAGGCCGGGAGGCGGGGTTCCTGACTCACTGCGGCACAGGCGGGGCTGGCGGCGGGCCGGGCTGGGGCCGCGCCTCCCCCGCGCCCCTGCTGTCTGCTTGGGAGGCCAGGGGCGCAGGCGAGGCATCCCCTGGGTCAGGGGTCGTCCTGTGGGCTTTCCGAAGAGCCTGTGCTCATTTCCGCCGGAGCCCTCGAGGCGCAGTATTGTCGCTGTACAGTCACTGTTTGTTTATTTCCACATCTGCCCCCAGGAGACTCCGTTAGGGCAGAGCTTTCTAATCCACCCCCTGATGAATTCGGGGCCCTCGCACTTGGCACAGTGCCTGGCACGTCATCACGACTTGAGGGATCAGTAAACAGCCGAGGAGGGGAGGGAGAGGGAGGAGGGAGGAGGGAGTCAGGGCAGGAGAGAAGAACAGAGAGGAAGCCGACTAGAGCCTCCGTGTCTGCAGAAGTGCAAACCATCGCCCTGTGTGATACAGGAATTAAAGCCGTGGGTATATGTGAAGATTTGGCTTAGCTGCCCCTCACACACCTGGGGCATCATCCCCAGTGTTTTTGCTCCTTGAAGGATAGTGATGATGATCAGAGGGGAAGAAAAGGACAAAGGGGGGAGAAAAAGATGGGGAGGAAAGGGGTTGTCTCACTCTTAAAATTGGCAGAGGCCATAAGCACTCCACTAGCTTCACACCATCAGTTGCCCCCAAAGCAAAGCAGATTGGTGGCCCCTCCCTTCTTTACCATCATAACCTCAGAATTTGCAGAGTCTGGGAGATTCTCAAACCCAGCCTTCCATCTTACAGATGAGGAAACTGAGGTTCAGGGAGGCTCTGTCATATGCCCAAGTAGAGGAAGACAGAACAGGAATCCATGTGTTGGGGCTTGTTTTTCCAATCCATTACCTTGCCTACTGCATTCCACTGCCCACCCCTGAGCATTCTCCATTCCTGGTTTCTGCAAAATAGAAGTTCTGGGGGGAAGCCCCACATTGTGATTTGTTCAGGGCCTGGACCCTGGTAAAGGCAAATGTGGAATTCTGGGTGCAGATACCCAGGCATCGAGAAGCCTCTGAAACCCCCACCCTGCCCCCACCCCAGGGCAGCGAGCAGCTGCCAGCTCCCGCCTGACAAACAAGCTTTCTGGGGCAGCTCTGCGCATGGAGAGGAGTGTCTCTTGCAGCTCCAAAAACAGATTTTGCCATCTCATCCCCACATTTGCAGTCTCAAGTTGGCTTCTTGTGATTGGCCAGAACTTTTCCTCGCTAGAAAGATGAGGAGAATCTGCCTCCTCCAACCAGCTGGAAGAAAACACTCTGCACAAGCATAGATGTGATGGCTGTTCCACCTCCCTCTGATGGGGGACAGGGGAGTCAGGCATGGACTCAACAGGTTGAATGATGCCAGGGACCCCCCAAGCGTCTTTACACTTTACCACAGGATTGGTGGCATCTGACAGGGTAGCTAACCTTGTACCTTTCATTCTGTAATTCGGGGTGTTTCATAAAATGGGTTCTTTGGCTTTGGAGACCAAAAGGTTTCTCAAAATTTAATTTTTGCCGTGATCACAGCTGGCAGCTTGTGTACAGAGCAGATGGTTGCTAATGTAGTTCGAATTGGGGGCAATCAGAGCTTCCTGTCTGTCTACCCCAGTTCACTCCCACATCTACTGCACCACACAGACTCCTTTCTCCAGTGTTTAAAACTCTACCCTGAGAGATGCAGTCCTTTAGAGTGATGGATAGCACTTCAAGGAATTCCCCAGGGTTAAGGCTTAATTAGCTATTAATAGCCCTACTGCAGCAATCTTTGACTTAGCTGTTTGTTAGAATGACCTGGAGAGTTTAAACCACTACTGATGCCCAGGCCACACCTCAGACCAAGTAGATCACTACTGGTGGTGGTCTTGTCTGAAAGTTCCCCCAGGTGACTGCAGTGTACTGTGGGATTGAAAAACGCTGTTGTAATGGTAACTGCTGGTTTTGCCTGCCCATAACTGTTCTCCTTTCTAATAACAGCACCTGATATTCCTCTGGAAGCCCTGCCCCCCACTCTCTCTTGAACCACATGAGTTGATGGATCACCTCTCACCATCACCTTCCACACCATGTTTTTCTAGGGGATAAGAGCCCACCAGTTTGACCAGTTAGCATGGTCCATTCCCTTGTAGAAAGTAAGTGGTTCAGTGGTTGAGGCGTGACATGTGACCCAAAGAGGTCCAATGAGAATCAACCTCAAGACTTTGCTCAAATAGAAGGGGATGGTCTCTTTGGGCTGCAATTATTCAGCAGAAAACAGAGGAGTCTTGGGCTCACTGCAGCCATTTTTGTCACCACATGGAGAAAGCCTGCCTGTAAATGAAGGCAACACAGAAGAAAAGAGAGATTATTGATGGGATGAGAAAGACTGAAACCTAAAAAACCATGCCCGAAACCAGATACCCTTCTGTAACAGAAACAAATAAATTCCCTTTTTCACTGAAGCCAATTTGAGCTGAGTTTTCTATGATGTGCCACATCATAGCAGAATTAATCTGTTATATAACTAGATATTACCTTGAAATGCAGAGAACAGAGTTGTGATCTGAAGGGTCATAAATAAATGAGCTTGCATATTCACAGTGAATGGTCCCAAGCACCTAAAGAAAACAAGATGAAGCCATACACCTTCAAGGATGGTAGTTCTCAAAAGAGAGGGGTGCTGAAACCAAAAACAGACGTGTTCCAGTCCAGTTTGTTCTTTCGTGCACATCAAAAGTCATGAGTATCTGACTCTTAAGTCAATAAGAAAAAGCTTGAGGCCAAAGTAAATAGGTCTGAGGGATAATGTGTAAAGTAAATTTTAACCATGTCCATTAAAGCTTTTTAAAATTAGCCAATGTGATAATGATACAGGAGGTTATATGGCCCAAACCAGCAGTCAACAGACCATCAAGACAAGGCATTGGATGCTTTCTTGGTCAGGGGCACCTTCCTGGAAAATGTGCCCTCTGTCTGAAGGTACAAGTGAGAGAAGAGTAATTGACTCACGGAAGTTTCGATTTGAGAGTTGTATCAGGTAGCAATCGTGGCAGAATAAACCACCCCAACCTTGGTAGCTTAAAAACATGATTTATCTGGCTCATTAATCTACAGGCCAGCATTTTGAGTGAGATTCAGCTGGACTGTTCTGGTCTCAGCTGGGCTCACTCCGGCATCTGCAGTCAGTTTCTGTTCAAGCTAAGTGGCTCTGTTTCTGAACTGGGCTGGCTGTTGGCTGGGGCCGTGGGGGTGACTAGGCCTTGCGTCTCTCATCCTTCAGCAGCCTAGCCTGGGCTTATTCACATGGTGGAGGCAGGATTCCAAGAGTGAGAGGAAAGTGACACAAGGAATCTTGAGATCTGGGCTCAGAACTTGCACACTGGCATTCATTCCATCACATTCTATTTTTCAAAGCAAGTCACAACTCCACTTTTTGACAGGAGGTGTTCAAAGTCGCATGGCAGTGAGCCAATGAGAACTCAGAGATGTTTTGACCCAAACTTTCCCATCTGATGGGCAGCCAGTGGGCTCATTTAAGCCCCCTCTGATGATGGAGGCCTATTCTGGCCTCCACATTGATGCTGTGTCCACACTGATGTTTTGTTTACTACACTTCTTTTTTAGTTATTTCCCACATGATGCAAGTTTGCTTGACTCCTGGCAAAATCTCTGTGACATAACTAAGGCAGACATTGTCTACATTTGCTGCTTTACAGTGAAAGAAATGGATACTCTTATTCTCAAAGTCACCCATCAAATATATTGGGATTCTGTCTCTGGACCAGGCACTGAGACACAACGGAAAATAGGGCAGACATAGACTCTCTCTGCACAAAGCGTAGGATTTACCACTTAAATGCCAGGTCCAAGACTGTTCTGAACCAAGACTATCCTAATTCTTCCTCTGAATGTACTTTTCATCCTCAGTCTTTGCTATGGTTCTTTAATGCTGGTCTGTATATCAAAGCCAACTGTTTATATTTGTGATGGGAGCAATTCATATTAATTCATGGAGTTGTCAGCCTACCCTCATTCCCTTCCTACCCCTTCTAAGGGGAATTTTTTTCTTTTATTACTAAGTTTGCCTCCTCTCCCCTGGGGAACTCTGTCTTCACTGGGTAGACTCCCAGGCTTTCAGAGACAGATGAATCTGAAAAGTGGGTAGAGCAAGTTTGGAAGAAGCAAGAGGAAAATGTGGGGTGGGGTTTCAGAAAGAGCAGAAGTAGGGAATAGAAAGAAAAGGATTTAGAGAACAAGAAAGGCCAGAAAAGCTACAGGATATATGAAAATTAGAGAGAAGAAAGGCTTTCTTTAAACTCTATGCTGGGGTGCCTGGGGGGCTCCATCGGTTAAGCATCTGACTTCAGCTCAAGTCATGATCTCACGGCTCCTGGGTTTGAGCACCACATCGGGCTCTGTGCTGACAGCTCAGAGCCTGGAGCTTGCTTCAGAGTCTGTGTATTCCTCCCTCTCTGCCCCTCCCCGACTCATACTCTGTCTCTCTCCCTCAAGAATAAATATATGTTAAAAATTTTTAATAATAAAAATAAATAAATAAATTAAATAAATAAATGTGCTGAGTTAGAAAGTGGATCTCTTTTGTTTTTCTTCCAGATATGCTAGTAAAGTTTGCTTTACCTTTTATTTTGATAATGTTTGACTACTAACTTTGTTGCGTTTTTTGTTTTTTTTTTTTTTAATGTAACAATTTGGCAAGTCAAGACATGAAAACTGGAAATTTATCTGGGGCAAATTTAATTAACAGTCATTATGTCCCCTGGCAGGACAACTAAAATTTGTGCCTTCACTAGATACCTGGTCCAGATCAAAAGATTGGTCATCCTTTTCTTAACAACACAAAGACAGGGGCACCTGGGTGGCTCAGTTGGTTGAGTGACCGACTTCGGCTCAGGTCGTGATCTCACGGTTTGTGACTTTGAGCCCTGCGTTGGGCTCTGTGCTGACAGCTTGGAGCCTGCTTCGGATTCTGTGTCTCCCTCTCTCTCTCGGCCCCTCCCCCACTCGTGCTCTGTCTCTCTCTGTCTCAAGAAGTAAATAAACATTAAAAAAATTAAAAAAAAAAACAACAAAGACCAAATAAAGCCCCTCAATCCCCATATTTCATTCCGATTTCATTGGTGTTTCCTTAATGATCTTTTTTCTGTTCCAAGACCCAATTAGGATTCATTTGAATCCTAATTCATTTAGTTTTCATGTCTTCTCTGGATTATGACACTTTCTCAGACTGCTTTTTTGGGATGACCTTGACGGTTTTGAAGAGTACTGGTCAAGTATTTTGTAGAATATCTTTCCATTTGTTTTGTTTTGTTTTTCCATGGTTAGATGTGGGTTATGGGTTACAGAGGATGACCACAGAGGCAAAGTGGAATTTTTAAAACACATTCTATCAAGGGCCCATATAATCAATATGACTTATTACTGATGATGTTAACCTTGATCACCTGGCTAAGGTAATGTTTGCCAGAGTTCTCAGCTGTTAAGTTACTTCTTTCTCCTTCCTCTTTCTCTACTTCCAAAGAAGTATTGTATTCTTTAGAAACTTGTATTCTTTAGAAGCTTGTATTCTTTAGAAACAAGCTTAAGTATAGCCCACCCTTTAGAGGTAGAAAGTTCTGCCTTTTACCATAGTAAAATAATTTGACTTACTAGAATTTCACTTAAAGTTGGGAATGGAAAAGGAGATAATTCTCCAAAGAATAAGAGTGCTATAAAGTGTAATGTGCTAGGAATTCCCACATCCAGCACAGTGGGCAGGCATTACAGAGAGTCTGAAATGAGGGAATAGTAAGAATCCCCATGATACTGAAAGGGATGTATGGAGAGGCAGGGAGAGAGTTTAGCGGTTGTTCTTTCTGGAAGACATTGGAGAGCGGTACCTGGTAGAGGATATTACCAATGTTTTATGGGCCACTCACTGTGGCCAGCCCCTATATTACATCTTTAAGGAAACTTGCAGTAAAGATTTACATTAGTTTTCAAGGCATCAGAAGCCACACTGCTACCTCTTCCAGACCAAGAATGGTCCACAACAGAGTTCTATCATATTTGGGTTGTATTAGCAAATGATTAATCAGGCTAGGTCTGACTCTGAAGTGGGAAATACATAGTCCAAAGGCTAGATCAAGCATATTGTTTAATTTCTTGAACCTCATGGAAGATTTTTTTTTAATGTTTGTTTTTGAGAGAGAGAGAGACAGAGGGTGAGGGGAGGAGGGCAGAGAGAGAGAGGGAGACACAGAATCTGAAGTAGGCTCCAGACTCTGAGCTGTCCACATAAATAAAGCCTGACATGGGGCTTGAACTCACGAATCATAAGATCATGACCTGAGCTGAAGTTGAATGCTTAACCAACTGAGCCACCCAGGCACCCAGAACCTCACAGAAGTTTTAAAAATAGTCTTATGGAAGTAAGTTTTTGCAATGGCATTCCTCCCACAGCTACTCCCCATTATTTAACTGGACATGAAAATGGTAGAGTGGCTGATGGTGACATCTTTGCACTGTCCAAAGATTGGACTCTTTTGCGAATCTTGTATTCCTTGATTATTGCTTTTTACTTATATTGTATTCCATTGTGACACCTGTATTCTTCGATCATTGCTTTTTACCAAAAATTACATATAGATACACACATGTATCCCCTAATTGTCTTCTTATATATGTTTCTACCACAGAGAGAAAGATTGTTCCCTACTCAACAGTCTCTGGGTGGTTGCCTTGTGGTTGCTCTTTTCACAACATACATCTGTGTCAAAAGATAAAGCCTCTGTAACTTCTACTCAGCAGTTCAGCATGTTGCAAGAAATTCAACATGGGATACATGTGTTTCCATAAAGGATAGCAAGCTTCCCCTAGGAAGATGATTTGAGTGTTTAGGGAAGCAATAAATACGTTCTAACAAGAATATTGCAGTCAGCAAACAAAGTGTGTGGTAAATAGGTCCTCTCTTGGGAATTGGCAGAGCTCCAGGGTGTGTGCTGCTGGTCTATCCATGGATTCCAACTAAATGAACAGTCTGGTAGGTATCCACAGAACTCCTTGGCTGAGGGGCAGAAGCAGGACCCCGAACAGCTGCCCCTTTCCACCATTCCTGGGCACAAAGTCTAATTTCCAACCCAAGCTGCAGCAGTAGGCAGTGCAGTAGTTCAACTAAGTTTTGTTTCATCGCAGAGTCTTCTGTGTACTGATAAAAGCAAGGAAATTCAGATCATGAAGAAAAGAAATGCCCATAGTTTTTAAAGAACCAGTCCTAGTGGTAAGCCTGGGACAAGAAAACATTCTCAGTGATTCAGTTACTCTTATTAAACCGAGGCTAGGTTCCAAGTGACATTGTGGTGTCAGGTGCAGCTCTTTCTTTCTTTCTTTCTTTCTTTCTTCTTTCTTCTTTCTTTCCTTCCTTCCCTCCTTCCCTCTTTCCTTCCTTTCTTCTTTTTTGTGAGTTTATTAGAGTGAAGACATTTAATGTTGTTTGTTATCTACTAATATCAGTAATGTTATCAGTGACAATGGAGCAAACCATTTAGTGTTTGCCATCTGTGTGCCCAAAGACAGGTGTCCTTTCTTCTTCCATCTCTGTTTTCACTGGTTTCTGAGTCTCTCTGCTTTGAGAAGGAGCAAAGTTGTCAGCATGGATGCTCATTTGAGTTTTTGTCTGAAATATGTTGGTCATCGGGGCGCCTGGGTGGCGCAGTCGGTTAAGCGTCCGACTTCAGCCAGGTCACGATCTCACGGTCCGTGAGTTCGAGCCCCGTGTCAGGCTCTGGGCTGATGGCTCAGAGCCTGGAGCCTGTTTC